TTTTATATTATTTTTGTTTCCCTTCCCTTATGTTTATCTGTTTTGTCTCTTAAAGTCCTCATATGAGTGAAGTCATAGGATATTTGTCTTTCTCTGACTAATTTCACTTAGCATAATGCCCTCCAGTTCCATCCACGTAGTTGCAAATGGCAAAATTTCATTCTTTTTGATTGCCGAGTAATACTCCATTGTATGTATACACCACATCTTCTTTATCCATTCATCCATCGATGGACGTTTGGGGTCTTTCCATACTTTGGCTATTGTTGATAGCGCTGCTATAAACATGGGGGTGCATGTGCCCCTTCAAAACAGCGTACCTGTATCCCTTGGATAAATGCCTAGTAGTGCAATTGCTGGGTCATAGAGTAGTTCCATTTTTAATTTTTTGAGGAACCTCCATACTGTTTTCCAGAGTGGCTGCGCCAGTTTGCATTCCCACCAGCAGTGCAAAGGAAATCCTCTTTCTCCGCATCCTCGCCAACATCTGTTGTTGCCTGAGTTGTTTATGTTAGCCATTCTGACAGGTGTAAGAGCATAGCTCATGGTGGTTTTGATTTGTATTTCCTTGACGATGAGTGATGTTGAGCATTTTTTCATGTGTTGGTTGGCCATCTGGATATCTTCTTTGGAGAAGTGTCTATTCATGTCTTTTGCCCATTTCTTCACTGGATTATTTGTTTTTTGGGTGTTGAGCTTGGTAAGTTCTTTATAGATTTTGGATACTAACCCCTTATCTGATATGTCATTTGCAAACATCTCCCATTCCTTCGTTTGCCTTTTAGCTTTGCTGATTGTTTCCTTCACTGTGCAGAAGCTTTTTATTTTGATGAGGTCCCAGTAGTTCATTTTTGCTTTTGTTTTCCTTGCCTCCGGAGACGTGTTGAGTAAGAAGTTGCTGCGGCCAAGGTCAAAGAGGTTTTTGCCTGCTTTCTCCTCGAGGATTTTGATGGCTTCCTGTCTTACATTGAGGTCTTTCATCCATTTTGAGTTTATTTTTGTGTCTGGTGTAAAAAAGTGGTCCAGGTTCATTTTTCTGCCTGTCGCTGTCCAGTTTTCCCAGCACCACTTGCTGAAGAGACTGTCTTTATTCCATTGGATATTCTTTCCTGCTTTGTCAAAGATTAGTCGGCCATACGTTTGTGGGTCCATTTCTGGGTTCTCTATTCTGTTCCATTGATCTGAGTGTCTGTTTTTGTGCCAATATTTTTGTAATTTTTTTTAAGTTTATTTATTTTTTGAGAGAGACACAGAGAGAGCATGAGTGGGAGAGCAGCAAAGAGAGAGGGACAGAGAAAAGCCCAAGCAGGCTCAGCGCTGATAGAACAGACCCCGACGCAGGGCTCGAACTCACCAACCTCATGACCTGATCCGATATCGAAAGTCAGACGCTCAGCCAACTAAGCCACCCGGGCACCCCTGTATTTTTTTCGTTTTGATCTAACTTCAAACCTACAGGCAAGTTACAAAACATTGTTTTCATCTCCAGGTGATGGATTTATTCAGTCAGCTACTTTTCTTTTCTTATTGAGGTATAACTGACATACAACATTATATTCATTTCAGGTGTACAACATAATGACTCCACATGTGTATATATTACGAAATGATCACCCCAGTAGGTCTGATTAGCACTCATCACTACACATAGGTCCACCTTCCTTTTCTTATGAGAATTTTTAAGATCTACTCTCTTAGCAACTTTCAAATATGCAACACAGTATTCTTAACCATAGTCACCATGCTGTACATTACATCCTTGTGCCTTACTTATTTTGTAACTGGAGGTTTGTACCTTTTGACCCCCTTCACCCATTTCACTTACTTCCCCACCCCCTACCCCACCTTTGGCAACCAACCAATCTGTTCCCTGTATGTACGAGCTTGGTTTTTCCTAAGAGGAATTCCCATAATGCTCTTTACCTAGATTCAGCAACTGTTTACATTTTAACCCATCTGCCTTATCAATTTCTCTATCTCAATCTCTCTCTCACTCTCCCTTAACACAGACATACAGACACACACATATGCACACGTCTAAACCATCTGTGTTCACACAGCTTTCATTACACCTTTTAGACTAAACTGTAATGCCTGTTCCCTCACCCCACCCCACCACTTTCCTAAACCTTGAACTGTTCTGGGGCGAGGTGATGTCTCCTTTACCTGTTTCCTTTACCTGTCTCCTTTACCTCTTCCATGCCTGGAAGCGCCTGGCATGGAGGACACAGTCAATGGATGTCATCCAATGACAGAAAGCAAGTCGGGGCAAGGACTCAAAAGGGCAAAGAAAGGGAGGCATGGGTTCGGTGCTGGCCTGAAGCCAGTGAAGAACCCCATGGAAAAGTGCCTTCCTCACCTGTGTTTGCGGCAGAAACCAAGGGAGGGCTCATCCCTGGCTCAGCAAGTTTGGGGAAACACTGGGAATCCTACTGGCAATGCGGAAATCTGCTCCAGACTAAAGTCTGAGTGGCTTGGCTGAGCGTCCAACCCCCTCGAGGCGGAGTCAAGGCACCCACACACCAGGCAGACATCAGGGGCGTGTGGAGGAGTCTGATCTCTTCCTATTCATCCATATCCTCACTCTTGTATTTCTCATGTTCTACCCTGGTAAGAGTCCTCTTGGAAAAGTCTTAATTTGTCTCCACTGCACAAGAGGAGGCACCTGCAGGGGAAGCATGGGCAGGCGTGACCTTGGAGGAGTGGCATCACTCCGAGTGGCACCTGTCAGTGAGACCAGCATGTGTGCTTACCTTATAGGGCCCCTCACGAAGGTCCCGTGACACAGGGGGTGGCAGCCCTGAGTGTCCACCCCGACCAAGAAAAGCCAT